AGGCTCCCAGAGCCGCTGCCGGGGAAAGGGGGGCCCCCGCTCCAGCAGCCCCGTTCTCTCCTAGGATTGGGGCAAGCCTTGCTCCGTGCCTCAGTTTCCCAGTGGGGAAGAGGGCTGTGGGGACCTCTGGCAGTGGGTGAGAAGCAGCCAAGACCCTCCCCGGAAAGTCTCTGAGCTTTGTCTCGCCACAGCCCTGGCTGAGCAGCCCGGGCTTGGTGCAAGCAGTTATGTGCTTGTCTGGGGCTGCAGCCAGACCAAGTTGTTTTCCTGTCTGATGTTGTAGCTTTTGCAGCAGCAGAACTGGTGCAACCCCTGTTTTGAGGTGTGTGGGGGTCCCAGGCATCTCAAAAAATGGAGATGCATGCAGTGCCAGCACCGCTAACCTTCCCCAGCCCAGCTCAGGATGAAGGCTCCATCCCTTCAGCAGCGGTTGCTGGAGAGGTGGAGATGCACCCCAAGGCACAGCAGGCTACCAGTAAACCCCATAGAGAGTTGCTGGTGGGCACGGGGCCAAGCCCTTGGTGCTAATGTCACATCAACCGAGAGGAGAGGTGAGAGGAATCGTCCCTCTGAGATGGCAAATGACAAACACTGGAGAAACTCATGTGCTTTCTCACAGCGAGGTGCTCATGCTAACCACATCCTCTGTCTACCCCCACTGCTCTGACAACAGTGGCCAAAAGACAGGGGCTGCATGGAGGCCTTCCCTGCCCAGGCTCACAGGCCTTTCCTGCACAGAGCTTGGCCCTTTTGGTAATCACAACCTTATCGGCTCTTTTGTTGTGTTCTCTGGGATTTCTGTTCTTGCAGACAGAAAAAAAGGATGCACACTCACTCTCCCTATGAGCAAGGGAGGGGAAGAAGCAGTTTAGCAGCTGCATTTAGGCAGAAAAAAGCAGGAGGCAAGCTGCAACGGGGTGGACAAGGAGGTTTACTGGAGAAGGCTGCAAGGTGGGGTGGTGGGAGAGGAGAGGCTGTGCCTGACTGCTGTTGCCCGCAGCTGGGAGCAGGCAGAACAGGCCTTCAATGGCTTCTCCTCTTGGGTTGCTGGGCTGCACACAGGGGGGAACCTCTGCCTCGCTGAGCCGTGGGTCAGATGCCAACCACCACGTCTCTTACGCATCATCCATGCTCCTCGAAGCCTCAGCCATCACGTTGCAGACAGCTTTGTGCTGTTTCCAGTGCTGTACCTGGCAGGCTCTGTGGAGAGGAAGGGTATTGGGAAGGGGCTCTGTCATGAAGCGAGGGTGCCTGCAGCTTAAGCAGGGCTGCAGAGGGGCCACATCTATCCCTGCGAGTGAAGGAGCGGCAAGGACAAACCCCAGCCCTGCACTCCTCCAGGCACTTGCATGACTGAGCATTAGCCTAACAGAGAGGTGGATGCAGCCCCCAGGTCTAGGGGCTAAGATGGTTTAATGCCAGACCTTGCCAGATGGTTCAGGACCAGAGAAGATCTAATTTACTGCCACAGTCCCAGCTGCCACATCCCAGCCTGTCACCTGCACCCACAGAGCCATGGGGTTTCCTGCACCACCACAGTGCAGGGGAGGGAGATGGTGTCATCAACGAAAACCCAGCCCGTCGCTGCTGTCGGTGTGGGCACAGGCAGCTCAGCACCTCGCAGCAGCAACACAACACTGACCAACATCTCCTCCACCAGTGTCCTGGCACATCAGCCTCACCATAAGATTTGGAGAGGTATGTGGCAAGTGGAGAGCCAGCAGTGGCACCTGTGGCTTCCCTTGGCCCTTTCATAGCAGCTCTGATGAGGACTGTGGTGCTGCTCTGGGGAGCTGGTAGTGCTGGGGGGCTGCAGGGCTCCCTTACCGCGAGCAGTACCACTCGTTCCGGCAGCGAGAACACCGCTTGGGCGCCTCCATACCACACACCCTGCAGCAGGGCTTCTTGGCGGCCAGAACCTTCAGCGTGTCCTCGATGTAGATCTGTGCCCACCTGCAGCAGGCAGAGAAGTAGTGGCATTGCTCACGGGGAGCAGCTGACAAACAGCAAGCTGTCCCCACTTGTGCCAGCACCTTACCTGTGTATCTGTGGCTTCAGCTCCTCCTCAGTGGGGCTGAAAACGTGCTTCAGCTGGTGCTTGGCGATGGCCTCCCACTTCCCACTGTTTTTCTTGAGGATGTGGTCCCAGATGACAGGAACCTGTCAGGAGAGGCAGAGCAGGAGGAACGGGTGCTCGCAGCCCGACTGAAAGCACTGCAGTAGGAGGGCATTTGTGGGTGCCGAGTGTGGTCAGTGAGGGTAACAGAGCACTGGAACAGGCTGCCCAGAGAGGGTGTGGAGTCTCCATTTCTGGACACATTCAAAACCCATCTGCATATGTTCCTGGGTGGTCTACTCTAGGTGATCCTGCTCTAGCAGGAAGTTTGAGCTAAATGATCTTCAGAGGCCCCTTCCAACCACTGTGATTCTGTGAGCACAAGCAGCATGCTCCCTACAGGAAGGTGATCGGAGGCACTGTGTGTGGAAGCAAAGGTGTGGTTTTTGGGTGCATGGAGGGGACGGATCCACTCGCCAATGATACATTCAAGTGAAACAAAGCAAAACCTTCGGGGTCCGAAGCCCCGTAGGCCTGGGCTCCTGAATGAAAACCCTGGGATCTCAGTGCCCTGCATGCCCGCAGCAGCATGAACCTCGTGCTCCAGAGCCGTTTGCCTGAGCAGATTTTTCCACTCGTCACTTCCCTAAAGATGAACATTCAGGGAAGGGCTGGCCGGCACAAAAGGGAAAGCGCAGCCAAGAGCAGCACGGGGAGTTCAGGCTCCGTAGAGGAGGCTGCTGCTTTGAACAGCGCTGCCTTCTCCAGCAGAGTAAAAATAGCCAGGCCTGGAAGGGGAGGAGGCTGCTCTGAGAGCAGCCGAATGGAAAAAGGCCTTTTTCAAATCTTGGCTTGGTGAAAGGGAGTGAGTTCACTGCTTTCTGAGCAGAGCAGGGAGCCCATGTGTGTGCTTCCAGCTGGCTCCCTCTGACCGCCCGCCGGGCTCAGCCAGCCCTTGGTGGGGACAGGGGCAGCACCAGAACAAAAGCAGAGCTATGGCGCAGGGCAGCAGCGGGGGCAAGGGCTGGATGAGGTCCCCAGGGCAGCAGCT